CTTCTAAGAACTCAAAAGGAGGAGCCAGGTGTACAGGCGGAACATGAAAGTGAACACGGAGCGTGACCACTGAAGCACAGCATCACAGGGAGACGTTTAAGCCTCCGGACGACTGCGGGCACGCCTGGCTAATGTCAGGCCTCCCACAAGAGCTGGTGGAGCAGAGTGTTCTCTAACTCCCCCAAGGAAAGGGAAATCCCTTTCCTGGTCTGCTAAGTAATGGGTGACTTCCCAGGCACTGGCGCTACCGCTACACCAAGGAGCCCTCAAGCGGCTTTTATCTGGGCGTGACCGAGGGCTCACACTCTTGTCTTCTGGTCACCTCTCACAATGTCCCTTCAGCTCCTGATTCTGTATGGCCTGGTTTTTCCTCAGTTATAATAACAAAGATTAATACTAAAAACTAATAATAATATCCATATATATACTCTATATCATATGTCTAATATAACTTTCTTTTATCCTATTTTCTTTATTATATTGGAACAGCTTGTGCCTTCAGTCTCTTTCCTCGGCACCTGGGTGGCTTTCCGCCCACACTGACTGAGCCAAGTGAATGGAAAGTAAGTCAGACTCTGGTGATATACACGTGGTAAACGTGAATGCAGTGATCTTCATACCATACATATCTACTGAGCCAGGTGAATCAAAAAGTAGACTCAGCAGAGTGATGTTCACGCGGTAACTCAAAGTCAGTCATCTTCATACTACATCTAACTGAGCCAAGTGAATCGAAAATTAGACTCTGGAGAGTGAAGTACACGCCATAAACTTAAATGACAGGCTCTTCATTGCCCTCTGACTGAGCCAGGTGAACTGAAATGTAGTTAGACTCTAGATAGTGACGTACACGTGACGAACATGAATGCAGCGATATTCATACCACATCTGACTGAGCCAAGTGAATTGAAAAGTGGTCAGACTCCTAATAGTGACATACACACCATGACATTGAAGGCACGATCTTCATACTGCATGTGAGTGAGCCAAGTGAATCGAAAAGAAGTCAGACTCTGGATAGTAACATACACATAGAAAACTTGAATGCAGCAATCATGTTACAGGAAAGGTGCCCCAATCGAGACCCCAAAAGAGGGTTCTTGAATCTCACACAAGAAAGAATTCAGGATGAGTCCGCAGTGGAAAGTAAAAGCAAGTTTTTTAAGAAGGCAAAGTGGTGAAAAAACAGCTACTCCAGTCGGGCGCAGTGGCTCACACCTGTAATCCCAGCACTTTGGGAGGCCGAGGCAGGCGGATCACGAGGTCAGGAGATCAAGACCATCGTGGCTAACACGGTGAAACCCCGTCTCTACTAAAAATACAAAAAATTAGCCGGGCGTGGTGGTGGGCGCCTGTAGTCCCAGTTACTCAGGAGGCTGAGGCAGGAGAATGGCGTGAACCCAGGAGGTGGAGATTGCAGTGAGCCGAGATCGTGCCACTGTACACTCCTCCAGCCTGGGTGACAGAGCAAGACTCCGTCTCAAAAAAAAAAAAAAAAAAAAAAAAAAAAAAAAAAAAAAACACCTACTCCATAGACAGAGCAGGACATTCCCAAAAGAGGAGGAACACATCTACCCTAGATACAATGCTTGTATATATGGGGAGATGTGCTCTGCTACAAGGGTTTGTGATAAAAGATTAATGTTCTTAATTACTGTATTTTGCAAGAACCGATATTATCATCTTTGAAGCAAAATTAGGAATGCCTTTGTTCTCCAGATATCAAGATATCTGGACATTGCCATGTCTAGGTCTGTTTAGTAAACATTATTAATTCGTTCCCTTAACCATAAACATTTAGAGGCTAGGAATGCCTGACTTTCTCAGAATCCAGCCCAGAAAGTCCCAGCCTCATTTTCCTAGCCCTCACTCAAAATGGAGTCTCTCCCACTCCCTTTACAAGAGGACCCTTAATCCTAAGCTTTGCAGAGGGACGAAGATCTGTCTTGTGTAGCTTCTTCAGGTTGAATTGGGATAATGATATTGCTGCCTAACTATTAGGGTCTCTTGCATTCAGGGTAAAGAAAAGCTCAGAGAGCGTTGGTATGGTGAAGGTCGTTCATAACTCTTGAGTTCTGATGAAAGGTGGTATCTGGAAGATTAGTAAGTGCCCAATTTAAGAAAGCATTGAGTGAGCTTGTCTTGCATTCCTACACAAAGAGCTCAACCACAATATTTTCCACAGCAGCAAAGCAAAATAAGTAAAATTATGCCAAGTAAACTAAACAGGAAGTCTTCCCAAGAACTGGGCAGTTGTTGAAACCAAGCCGATATAGGGTCAACTGACAGCACACCAATGGCAGAGATATGAGTGTCTAAAGCTTTCATAGACTGGGTAATAGTATGTGAATAGTCAAAAACATACACGCAACATTTGATTTTGATCAAAGCACATGTTTCCCCTTGGGCTGCTGTTAAAATGTTCACATACCCAACAGTTTGTCTGATTACATAGAGAGGCTAAAGTCTATGCCCACTCAATAAATAAGTTACTCTCTGCATGATTCCAACTTCTACCCAAAAGTAGAATCCCAATCCGTATCTTTATGTTACCCATCCCTTTCATTTCTTCTGAACAGGAGTCAGAGGTCACTGCTTGGCTCACAGGAATAAACGGGATCAGTCTCTTGTGTTCCACCAGATTGTGGGACTTTATAAGAGACAGGTTTCATTCGAGATAAGTGGACCCAGCTGTTTATTCTCAGAAGTTTAACTATAGCTGGCGTACTGAGGAGAACTTGGTAGGGTCCCTTCCATTTTGGGGAAAGTTGATCTGCTGAGAATACTTCCTTCCAAGTTTCTAACAGGACTCAATCTCCTGGCTGGGTTGTAACAAGTCTCTTTCTTAGTGGGGGAAGGGAGTCTTCGGTTTCCATAATTTAAGGAATGCATTTTGCACTTGTTCTAAGTTGATCACATAATTCTGTAGCTTGAAAGTATCTATGTCTATTAGGAGGTCTGTAGTTAAGAAAGGCCTTCCATACATAATTTTAAAAGTGGTGAGCAGTATATTTCCCTTAGGGGCCACTCGAACCCATAATAAGGCTACAGGTAATAACAACAGACAGGTTTCTGATGTCTCCTGGCATAGTTTAGCAAGAGTCCTTTTTAGAGCTTGATTACCTCTTTCTACTTTCCCTGAAGACTGTGGCCTCCATGCCAAGTGAAGGCGGTACTGAATTCCTAGGGCTGAAGATACATTTTGGGTAACTGTCACTGTGAAAGATGGCCAATGATCGTTCTGTAAACTCAGGCAGCCCAAATCTAAGACATATTTCCTTTAACAGGAGTTTAGAAACTTCAATTGCCTTTTCAGACCAGGTAGGAAAAGCCTGAACCAACCAGTAAAGGTATCAATGAATAATAATAAATATTTAAACTTTTTACGTAGGGGCATCTGGGTATAGTCTATTTGTCAGTCTTCAACAGTGTACACTCCCCTATGCTGAACAGGCCTTATTAGAGGAGGTAGTAAAGATTGGTTATTTGGGTTATTCCAGGCACATAGGTCACAGGCCTGAGTTACCTGCTTTACCGTTTTAAGTAAGTCTTTTCCTACAAAAAGCGTGGGCATTAATTGAAACAGGGAATCTCCTTCCAGATGAGTAGAGTCGTCCAAACACTCAGCTATTTTCCACTGATTAGCACCTGGTAGTAACAGCTTGTTGTCATTGATGAGCCAGCCAGAACGATCTTGAATTAAACCCTGACCTTTAGCCCATTCTTGTTCCTCTTCAGTATACCTAGGTTCTGTCATTATCATGGCTCAGGGCACTAACATGCCAACAGGTCCAACTGGCTCCTTTAATGCTGCTGCCTTAGCAGCTGCATCTGCAAAGGAGTTTCCCTTAGCCACACCAGAGTCTCCTTTTTGATGTCCTCTGCAATGGATTACAGTTACTTCCTTGGGCAGCAAAACAGCATCCAATAGATTCCAAATTTATAAGTGATGTTTTATAGGGGAACCCTTAGCAGTTAGAAGGCCCCGTTCCTTCCAGATAGCAGCATGAGCATGAAGTGCCAGAAAGGCATACTTAGAACCAGTATAAATGTTAATTCTTAAGTCCTTTCCCAATTGCAGGGCTCTATTAAGAGCTGTTAATTCAGGCTGGGCACGGTGGCTCATGCCTGTAATCCCAGCACTTTGGGTGGCTGAGGTGGGCGGATCATTTGAGGTCGGGAGTTCGAGACCAGCCTGACCAACATGGAGAAACCCCATCTCTAATAAAAAATACCAAATTAGCCAGATGTGGTGGTGCATGCCTGTAATCCCAGCTGCTTGTGAGGCTGAGGCAGGAGAACTACTTGAACCTGGGAGGTGGAGGTTGTGGTGAGCCGAGATTGTGCCATTGCACTCCAGCCTGGGCGACAAGAGCAAAACTCTATCTCAAAAAAAAAAAAAAAGCTGTTAATTCTCCCTTTTGAGGTGATGTAGAAGCTGGTAAGGCCTGAGAGTCCATTAACTTGTGTTGACTGACAACAGCGTACCCAGCTTTTCTGTTTCCCTGGTGCACAGAGTTATTTCCATCTGTAAACCATTCTCCTTCGGGATTATCCAGAGGCTCATTTTTTAAATGTGGACGGCTGAAGTAAACTTGCTCCATAACTTGTATCCAAGAACGATCTGGGATGCCTGTGGGTTCTGGCAAGTAGGTAGCTGGATTAAAATCTGGCATACTTTTATCAGTGTTATATCAGGAGCATCTAGCAGCAAAGCCTGGTATTTATTCACAGGAAAGGAGAGGAAGCAATTTCCGCCTGCCTTGTGATTTCCAAAACATACTACTGTTTGCAGATGAGTTCATAAATCCCTTCCCAACAAGGGTGGGGCATTCAGGAGAAAACCAAAGTCCCTGAAGAGAAGCTTAAAGGATAGGTAAAATGGCGTCTATGGGCTTGTCTATCTATCCCCTTGACCATACAGTTTTGGGGTGACAAAGGCCCATTATAATGGGTCAAAACAGAGTATGCATTCTAGAAGGAAGTTAATATATTCTTACCTGCCATGTCAAGGGTTATCTGAGGTTTCTCAGAAGATATGGCTAGTTGTCCGACGAGGTGTAGTAGAAGGTCTCAGGCCCCGTCACTCTTGGGCTTGCCTGGTTGTTTTGGCAATCTGGTTTGGATGCAGATGGCTGCTGTAAGGTACATGGATGTGCTTTGGTCAAGGAATAGCCCGAGGCAGATATCCAGGCCTGCATGACTCAGTGAGACTGGTGCATAGGCGCTCACCTCCACTTGTTATATAACCTGTTTGTGTAAGCTCATACTTGGCTCTACACCACTACCATCTGTAAGAGGTGTAACTGCCCTGCTGACACTGTGCACGGGGGCTCAACGTGGCTCAACATGGCTCTTGTGCAGGCACAGGTACCCAGAAAGAGAGTGAAGCTACTGACTCCTGTAAGGGAGAATGACTGGCTGGCGGACGGACAGAGGGGAGCCAGGACATGACTTAGCTTGTGCCCAAAGAGAAAGGTTAAGCTACTAATCTTAGAGTTGGCCGGCCTTGCAGGCCAGTTGTGCAGCTGTGCATAGGAGTCAGCTGCTGAGAGGAGCCAAAGAGTCAGAGCAGACAGCCGAGATAAAGGCGAACAATATAAAACAGCTAGTGTGAGAGAACTGCTGATGACAGAGCTGCTGAATAAAACTACATTTCACCTGCCTACAGTCCCCCAGTGTTCTTTCACCTATTCATCTATCCACCCATTCCTCTCAGACCTCAGCAAGGGGTGCACCCTAACTCTGGGCATGACATTTGTTGTAGTCATGGCCCTGGACCTAACAACTCCCTCTGGAGGAAGACTGGGCAATCCCTCTTCCAATGACCAGTTTCCTTAGTGTGCACACTGATTCATGCCCAAAGCACGCTGACTTGGACAACCAGCTTTAGGCTTCCCTTTTCAGCTTCCCTTGTTCAGTCCAAGAGCCAGGAGAGCAACTCTATGTGGGAGGTGAGCTTAAGGCTGTAGTCAAGAGCTACACCTTGTGGGAGGTCCTTCTTGCTCCTCTTTCTGCCTCCTCTGCTTTGCCCCTGTTATTAAAAACTAAGGATGCCACATCCAAAAGCTGTTTCATAGGAGTCTAGGGACACATAGCCACATGGTGGGTTTTTTTGTTTTGTTTTTTTGCCTTTTTTTTTGAGACAGAGTCTTGCTCTGTCTCCCAAGCTGGAGTACAATGGCGCAATCTGGGCTCACTGTAACCTCCACCTCATGGGTTCAAGCAATTCTCCTGCCGCAGCCTCCCAAGTAGCTGGGATTACAGGCACTTGTCACCACGCTCGGCTAATTTTTGTATTTTTAGTAGAGACTGGGTTTCGCCATGTTGGCCAGGCTGGTCTTGAACTCCTGACCTCAAGTGATCCACCGCCTCAGCCTCCCAAAGTGCTGTGATTAGGGGCTTGAGCCACCACACTGGCTCCCATAGCTGCTTTTTGTAGTTTCCTGTGGATATCAGGGGCAGACTGGGTTATAAAATGTCCTCCCAAAAGGGTTTGTCCTTCCTTTGAGGCAGGATCAGTGATATTATACTTCCTGATTGCTTCAACTAAATGCCCTTGAAATAAAACTGGATTCTCATCTTCATCCTGAGAATCTTCCTTAACCTGTTCATAGTTAATAGGCTTTTTCATACATTTCTTCATCCCTTCCAACAAACAAGTGACCATATGATCTCTCCTCCCCAAGTCCTCACTGCCCCTTTGATAGTTCCACTCTGCATCTTGATCTAGAACTGCTATACTTCCTGCCTGATATATCGTATGGTTCGGGTTGCGAGCCAATACCTCATCTGCATGGGTCCTAGTTGTCCCCAAAATGCATTGTTTCTCTTCCACTGTACAACACAGAGACAACAAAACATGCGGATCCTGCCAAGTTAAACTATAGGTCAGAGTTGATTCTCAAACTTATCTATAAATTGTCCTGGATCTTCAGAGAAATTACCAACCTTCTCTATATAGAGAGGCAAATCAGACGTAGAAAAGGGAACATGTACTCTCACAGTGCCCTCTTCCCAGTTTGCCACTTCTCTAAGTGAACAAAGATTTCCCCTTGGAGGTTGATAGGATGATAGGAGGCCCCACTATGAGTAGTACTCACTGGGTTGAGTTCCGTGGGGAGTGGTGGGTATAGAGTGGGACTAGCTGGGTAAGGAGAAGGGACGAAGGGTTCTCAGGAACTTTCAGGTGGACTAAAGGGAGAAAGAACTGACACATCTGAACCTTCGGAACTGACAGAAGGAGGTTCTGCTCCACCCAAAAATGCCCGCTGAACCACGGCGGGGCTTGCATTAAAGGATCACCTAGTATGTCTAGATCTTTTTCTTCTTTTCCTCTCATCAAACATGATTCACATTATCCAAATAACATAAGTGAGCTGAGCCATGAATCTTAGATAAACCACAACATGGACTTCGACAAAAATGTCAAATAAGGCAAAATAAATGAAGAGGATTTAGATAGGAACAACCAGAGCAAGCAATAGCAGCAGTATGGATTGGAAAAGCAAAGCAAAGCCGGTTTGCCCGAACCCAAGAAAGGAAAGTTTTTTTGTTTTTGTTTTGAGACAGTCTCACTCTGTTGCTAAGACTGCTGGAGTGCAGTAATGCAATCTCGGCTCACAGCAAACTCCGCCCCCCAGGTTCAAGCGATTCTCCTGCCTCAGCCTCCCAAGAAGCCGGGATTACAGACAAGCACCACCACACCCAAGTAATGTTTGTATTTTTAGTAGAAACGGGGTTTCACCGGGTTAGACAGGACGGTCTTGAACTCCTGACTTCAGGTGATTGGCCCACCTCAGCCTCCCAAAGTGCGGGGATTACAGGCGTGAGACACCGCACTTGGCCATAAAGGAGCTTTTTTACTGTGCAAAATGAAACAAAACAGCAAGGAGAAAAGTCCCCTGATTTCCATCGTAATGCTTCTCAATCACACTTAGCATAGCAGCAACAAAACAGAACCATATCTATCTAATCTTATTGCTCATAGTTGTTAAATACCAAATCTCAATCAGCAATTTTAGAGACGGATCCTCCAATGCTTGCTGTTCTCAGTGTTTCACAAGCATACGGACAGAAATCGGGAAGGACACAGGAGAATAAAGTAAAATCCCTAAGACCAGTTAAATGAAGTCTCCTGAAAATGACAGTGAAACGGAGACAGCAACCAAGACAAGGAGGACAAGGCAGATTAATATCAAGAGCATAGCTTGCGGTGTGAAACCTATTTTTTAGCCGAGAGGGACTTCACTGAGGGGCCTCTAACCCCCTAAATCTTAGAAGGGACTCTAACCCTCCTAGGTTGGGCCTCTAACGCGAGGTCAAGCATCCTTGCCTTTTATTAAGAGGGGCCTCTAACCCACTCTCTTTTAGGAAAGACTCTAACTCCACTACGTTGGGTCTCTAACCCAATCCCATTCTTTACCCGGGCACTCCACCACTTACCCAAAGTCGTCCAATCAGTGCTGCAATCTACTTCCTTTGGGTTGGGTGAGTTTCTTCAGTATCCTCCCTTCCGTCGTTCGCCAGAAATATGTTATAGGGCCCCAACACTTACCCAAAGCACTACAGTCCCATCTGTGGTCGCCAGAAATATGTCACAGGAAAAGGGCCCCGATCCAGACCCCAAGAGAGGGTTCTTGGATCTCGCGCAAGAAATAATTCAGGGCAAGTCCGCGGTGCAAAATAAAAGCAAGTTTATTAAGAAAGTAAAGTGAAAGAACAGCTACTCCAAAGACAGAGTAGGACGTTCCGGAAACTAAGAGAAGGAAGGTATCCACCCTAGGTACAATGCTTGTATACATGGGGAGAGGTGCTCTGCTACAAGGGTTTGTGATAAAGGATTAATTTTAATTATTATATTGTAAATATTAAAAATATATATATAAAATATAAAATATATATATAAAATATAAAAAATATTATAAAATATCCCTATTACTATCTTTAAAGCAAAATTAGGAACGCCTTTGTTCTCCAGATATCCACCTATCTGGACACTTGGGTCTCTTTAGTAAACATTAATTTATTCCCTTAACCGTAAACATCTGACAGCTAGGAATATCCTTCAGAGAATGCACGCCCGTAAATCCCGGCCTCATTTTTCTAGCCCTCACTCAAAATAGGGTCGCTTCGGGTTCCAATGCCTCTGACACTCATACTACATATGACTCAGCCACGTTAACGGAAAAAATAGACTGGATAGCGACGTACCCGCAGAAAACGAGTGTAACATCTGTCATACAGATCTGACTACAGTCAGATCCTGCAGGGTTAAGTAGAGGCGGCAAACTTGAATGCAACGATCTTCATACCGCAAACCACAGAGCCACGTAAATCGAAAAGCAGTCGGACTCTGGATAGTGAAACACATGCGGTAAACTTGAATAGAAAAATGTTTAGACTGCCTTGGATGGAGACACGTAAATGAAAAAGCAGTCCTACTTGGGATAGTGAAGTATGGGCGCTGAACTTAAACAGAACAATCCGCATATTGTATGTGAGTAAACCAAGTAATAACAAAGAGCAGTCAGATTACGGAGACTGATGGAGACCGATGTGAGTGCAGTAATCTTTAACTCAATGATCGTCACGCCGCAACCAAGTGAAACCGAAAGCAACTAAGCTCTCCCAAGCACGCGCGGCCAGCTTAAAAACAAGGGCGCTAATAGCCAATGATCCGACGTAAACGTGCAAACGTAAAGCACCGGCGGCCAATGTAAAAACAGCGGCGCTAATAGACGCCAATGATCCGACGTAAGCGTGCAAACGTAAAGCACGGGCGGCCAATGTAAAAACAGAGGCGCTAATAGACGCCAATGATCCGACGTAAACGTGCAAACGTAAAGCACGGGCGGCCAATGTAAAAACGACGGCGCTAACAGACGCCAATGATCCGACGTAAACGTGCAAACGTAAAGCACGGGCGGCCAATGTAAAAATAGCGGCGCCAACGGGCCCAAAAGAACCGATGTAAACGCGTAACAGTAAGGAACACACGGTGAACTTAAATAAATACTACGGTGCTAACAGGCCGTGACGACCGGACTTACGCGGCGAGGTAACGACTTCTGAGATGCTGAAGGCCCAAGGTAAACGCTACGACACCGTCGCTTTTGTGAAGATCACACGTTGAAAATCTCCCGCTGCTGAGGGCCACAAGAAAATACGCTGATAATCTTGCTTTTATAACGGGCGGACAGCGTAGAAAATGAAAAAAAAACACTCACATAAAAAAACCCAAAACGAACATTGAAACACACCCTAATCACTGAACAAAGATTTAAACTCTGGAGCTGAGTCTTACAGAGTAAACTAAGCCCCACAATAACACACCTATCGTCCACTGCACCCCTTCTCCACACATCCTCAGCTCAGGGTGACAGATATCACCCTCAATAACTCTTTCTCCTACGTTGAAACTGTGTATCTTTATCCAAATTTTAAAACTTGCCTAAGTAATATTGTTACTATTTCGAAGGATATTCATTTTCCTTTTTTGCTCCCATAAGTCCTGAGAGAAACAGCCATTTAAAATTTGCATGCCCCGCCCCAGACGCGCCATGCCCTGCCTGCCAACCGCTGAACAGAAAAGAGCCTGTAAATCACTGGAATCTTGGGAAAGCTCCTTCGGCTTCATTGCCCTTCAGGAGGAAAAACCCAGAACGAAAAAGACACGAAGAACTCTATGAGGCTATTCTTTCCTCCCCCTCCCCCCTCCCCTCCCCTCTCCCTCCCTCCTTCCCTTCACCTCCCTCTCCCTCCTCCTCCCCCTCTCGTCCTAACCTAGCCGGCATCCGACATTTCTTTAAACTTTTATTCACACATACGTTGAGAGAATTGTTTGGTGAACACCCGTATGCCCATCACCTAAAGTCATCTTGCTGTACTTGCTTTATTATGTGTTACAGACACGTAATTACATATTTTCTATAGCTGCACACATGGAGACAGGTACTCAGGTCTCGTCCCTCTAGCCCTTTCTCAACTGTCTGGTCCCGCAAGTTTTCGAGGAGGCCAGGGTGCAGGCCCCGGGGGAGCACATGCTCTGACTGGTTCCAGGGCTGGGCAGAGCCTTGGGAAAGGGGCCCCTGTAAGAGTTAAAGAAACAGGAAATAAACACTAAGAGTTTTCGCTCTTGTTGCCGAGGCTGGAGTGCAATGGAGCGATCTCGGCTCACCACAACTTCGCCTGCCGGGTTCAAGTAATTCTCCTGCCTCAGTCTCCCGAGTAGCTGGGATTACAGGAGTGCGCCACCACGCCTGGCTAATTTTTGTTTTTTTGTTTGTTTGTTTGTTTGTTTTTAGTAGAGACAGGGTTTCAACATGTTAGCCAGGCTGGTCTCCAACTCCTGACCTCAGGTGATCTACCCACCTCCGCCTCCCAAAGTGCTGGGATTACAAGCCTGAGGCAGGGCACTCAGTCCCATATTACTATCTTTAAAGCAAACTTGAATGCAACGATTTTCATACCGCATCCCACAAAGCCACGTAAATCGAAAAGCAGTCCGACTCTGGATAGTGAAACACATGCGGTAAACTTGAACTGAAAGATGTTTATACTGCCTCGGATAGAGACACGTAAATGAAAAAAACCGTCCCGCTTGGTAAAGTAGGGGCGCTAAACTTAAACATAACGATCCGAATATCGCATCTGAGTGTGCCAAGTAATAGCAGAGACCAGTCAGAACACGGATACTGATGTAGGTGCGGTAACCTTTAATCCAATGATCGTCACACCGCATGTGACTAAACCAAGTGAAATCTAAAGCAGCCACACTCTCCAAAGTACACGCTGCTGACTTATATACACACAAGTGTGCTAACAGGCCCCGACGATCCAATGCAAACGCGTGGAGGTAACGAAAGAACCTCCCATTCCACCTAGTCAGCAGACAGCGTTTAGAGATCTCCTTTGCTGATGTAATGCGAAATAACGGTAACTGACAGTGCAAGTCCCGCACTTAACCTCAGCCTAAATGACCAAGGCGCTGTAGGTATTAGCGTTCGTTCACAGCCCTCCTCCTCTTAGAGCCAAGTGTATTAATAGGTCCCGACAATCTGAGTGGAGATGACAAGAGGCTCCCATTCTATGAGTGGAGATAACAAGCCCCAGTGCTGGGAATAAGCCGAGGCAGGCATCAGCCCCATATTATACTATCTTTTAAAGAAACTTGATGCACGATTTTTCATACCGCATCCCAAAGCCACGTCGAAACAGTCCGACTCTGGAATAGTGAACCACATGCCGGTAAACCTTGAAATGGAAGATGTTTACTGCCTCGGATAGAGCACACGTAATGAAAACGAACGTCCCGCTTTGGTAAAGTAGGGGGCGCTAAACTTAAACATAACCCGATCGAATATATGGCATCTGAGGTGTGCCAAGTAATAGCAGAGAGACCAGTCGAACACGATACTGATGTAGGGGTGCGGTAAACCTTTAATCCCAATGATCGTCACACCGCATGTGAACTAACAAGTGA